AGTCACTTACCCCAGGTCAGTTTTACGCAGATCTCAAACCAAAGAGAATGCTTGTAGCCAACCCTGTAACAAACTAAAGGTTTAGTAACTAGGAAAAAGAAATGAGGGTTATTTACAAGGTTAAAGCAAGTAAACACACACAAATGAGGTACAATCTTCAGTTCAAAAGGTAACAGAAGCTTCTACAAGAAGCAAACTTTTATGTCCTTTAGGGCTAACCCAAGCCAAGTAGCTGGGGGATCTCCTTCTTGTGTTTAGGAATCTTTGCCCCTCAGAGTCCAGACAGCACAAAGATCCCAAGTTCACCTTAACAGGCACTTTTATTCCCGCCCCCCAGCATTCAAGCTGTCATGGGACATGAGCTGGTGCATGTAGCCTCTTTCGGGTGGGGTGGAGGGGAAGAAGCAATCAACAATGTCTTTTGCCCACAATGGTTTGTCTGATGGCTGTAGACCTTCTTTTGTTGAAGAGAACATAACACCTCTTGTGGTGAACTCACATTTCACACTTGGCAATACTGTAAATCCCCCACACTCAGGGGAGAAGCTTTAGCAAATGTTTTTAGGGTTACCAAGGAAACATTTAAACATTACCTTACAACATGGGCTACAGATATTTATAAGTAGGATTAATACACGCAGCATCCTACAAGTTCCATAAAGTCTAAATCTGTTCTTATAACTCTATCTATTTTAATAATACTTACACACAGGTGAGCCAGCCTGGTTTCCAGCTATGCATTTGTCAGTGTTCAGTGCTGCCTAGGGACCTTGGCATGAGCTGGTACCTGGTCTGCATCACTGTGCCTTCTCAGACATAAACTTGATCGTGCTCAAACTATAAACAGGTGCTGACTCAACCCTGAGGTAAACTTTCTTGCTAGAACTTATGGTACTGCCAACTTCACAAACTGTTACAACTGAAACACACGGCTGATAACTGTTTAAATGTCATGAACTGAAAATCATGTGAAATATCACAAAAATACAAGGGAGAAAATATTGAATAAGTTAACTGAAAACAACTTAATACACTAGCCTAGCATCACTATTGGTCACAGCATCAGCCCCAGCAGTGAACTTTTTGAGTCCCGCGAAAACGGGTTCTCAGGGCAAATTTTTTGGTGGCCTCAGAGTTCGGCCATCAACTCTTGCTGGTGGCTGTGCTCACACTCTTCCCTAAGATACTTAATTAGCTTTAGGAAAAACAAATAAATATGCACATATACACGTCCAAATCATTGTAATTTATTTATCTCTAGCTAGTAAGTCCGTTGTGAAAAGTGATATTAACAAACATACAAATATCACTTTTCACAGCAGACTTAATCGGCACTGGCAAGCCTGGAGAAAAATTAAGCCATGGATGTGGGGGCCAAGGGAGGCAGCTGGAGCCCGAAGCCCTGTGGCCAGAGCCTGCCACGCTGCCACCCCAGACTGAACCCCAAAGACTGAGCCCCATCGCCCCTGGGAAGGTAGAGAACTCACTGGGTGCCTGCTCTTCCAGCGTTGTGCCCCAGGTGTCTGCCCAACCAGTGCTGGCAGCCCCAGTAATCAACACCAAGGTGGGGCATCCAGGAGCAACAGGGAGGGGGAGGAGTGACAGGTTCAGTAACAGAGACCCCCTTGGGACTGTCACCTGATGTGCTGAAATTACCTCTGAGCCAGTTTTCCCTGCCAGCTTGGGACTCCAGAACCCTGCCTTGTTGAGCCAGACATGCTAGCCTGCTGCAACACAGACCCAGGTCTGGTCCACAGATTTTAACTAAAAACAGCTCAGCAGGTTACCTGTCTCCAGCACCCTGACACCCAGCTCCCAATAGGATCCAAACCCCAAATAAATCCCTTTTACTCTGTATAAAGCTTATACAGGGTAAATTCGTAAATTGTCTGCCCTCTGATAGAGAGAGATGCACAGCTGTTTGCTCCCCCAGGTATTAAATCACTTATTCTGGGTTTACTAATAAACAAAAGTGATTTTATTAAGTATAAAAATTAGGATTTAAGTGGTTTTAAGTAATAACAGACAGAACAAAGTAAGTCACAAAGTAAAATAAAACAAAACACACACGTCTAAGCCTAATACATTAAGAAACTGATTACAGGTAATATCTCACCCTCAAAGATGTTCCAATAAGCTTCTTTCACAGACTAGACTCTCTCCTAGTCTGGGCCTAATCCTTTCCCCGGTACAGTCCTTGTTAAATCCAGCAGACATCTTAGGTGGTAAGCAGGGGTTTTTTCATGACTGGCTGCCCTTTGTTCTGCTCCACCCCCTTTTATAGCTTTGGCACAAGGTGGGAATCTTTTGTCTCTCTCTCGGTCCCCACCCCTCCTTCGAAATGGAAAAGTATCAGATTTAAGATGGATTTCATTATCAGGTGACATGGTCACATATCACTGTAAGACCCCTAGTCTCCATTCCCCATGGGCTGGCCCACATGGACACAGGAAGGCTTTCAAGTAACTAAGGCCATTTACAACTGATTGTTTCTGGAGCACCCTTAATGGCCTCCACTTAATATGTTTACATTAGTGATACAAGTTTATATCTTATTCTCCTAACTCCAGATATAGAAATAATACATAGGATGAACACACTTAGTAGATTACAAGCTAATGACACCATACAAGGGGTATTTAGCGTAAAGCATATTCCTGTTATGTCATATTCATAAGCATATTTCCATAAAGCATATGGAGTGCAACATCACAGCAGGGGCCAGTACTTTGCCCCCATCCCAGGAGGCTGTGGCCACAAGAAAAGTCCATGGTGGCCACATTCGAGAAATGCTGCACTAAAACAATATGTACTTGAGTGTACAGAAATAATGGACAAATGCAATCAAGTTAATGCCCTGCTTAATCCGGATTGTCAACTACAGCCATTGTAGCCACCTCCTGTGAGACTCACGATACACCTCTACCACGATAGAACGCTGTCCTCGGGAGCCAAAAACTCTTGCCACGTTATAGGTGAAACTGCATTATATTGAACTTGCTTTGATCCGCCGGAGTGCGCAGCCCCGCCCCCTCCGGAGTGCTGCTTTATAGCGTCATATCCGAATTCGTGTTATATCGGGTCGTGTTATATCGGGGTGGAGGTGTACTTGTTTTTCCTAAAGCTCCAGCTCCTGGAAGCCCATGGTATCATAGTATAGGTAGAGTGTAGATAGCTTACTGGCCTTTTTCCTCTGTAGAGAAGTGACATGTGCGTTGTAAATGGCTTGTCTCATTTTTGTAAAGTCCAGCCACGTGGAAGTTTGTGTAGAAGGCTGGTATTGTATGAGAGTCTCCAGTTCTGAGAGCTCATTCTTGATCTTCTCCTGTCTGCTGTACAGGATGCTGATCAGGTGGTTCCTCAGTTTCTTTGAGAGTGTGTGGCACAGTCTCTCCCCATAGTCAGTGTAGTATGTCGATTGCAATGGATTTTTTACCTTCAGTCCATTTGGTATGCTGTCCATCTGTTTGCATTTGGAGAGGAAGATGATGTCTGTCTGTATCTGTGCAAGTTTTTTGTTGAGGTTGATGGATTTCCACTCCATATGGCTAAATTTAGTGCCTTGCATGGTGTCAAGTATCGGGGGTAGCCGTGTTAGTCTGTAGCTACAAAAACAACAAGGAGTCCTGTGGCACCTTAAAGACTAACCGATTTATTTGGGCATAAGCATCTGAAGAAGTGAGGTTTTTACCCACGAAAGCTTATGCCCAAATAAATCGGTTAGTCTTTAAGGTGCCACAGGACTCCTTGTTGTTTTTGTAG